GGGAACCAACTTGCAAAATAATTATAGAAAAATAACTAAAATTCGTTTTTTTTTCGACAATTAATGCAATAAAATATGTTTTTCATTTCAAATCTTGTTTTTTTTTAATTCAGATATCAAATTGAAGATTTTTTCAAAAAAAAAAATCCAAATTACCACAATAAAATTTGTTTTTTAATAATGCAATAAAAAAATTAATTGATGCAACAAAAAATAAATATTAAATATCACATTCAAGATTTTTATATCTAACCAATCCGTATCAATAATAAAGTTTAAATCAAATTTGGCAAATCAAACCAAAAGTTTGATAGAGACCATTAAATTACCTGTTACTTGTTCAACAGATCAACCAAACCCTTAAATAAACAAAAAGTTTGATAGAGACCCCTAAATGACGATTTTGAAAGTTGGTTCCCCAAAATAAAAATCAGGTGAAAGTTAGTTCCATTTTGGTGCAATTTTCCCTAAATTTTACTTATATCTTTCATGAAATTTAACATTGAAGTCCTCATTTTGCTTTTTGGTACAATATATCACTTTTATTATGCAAAATAAATGTCATATTTTAGGGCCGACCCAGAGGAGAGACGGGTTGGGCGCACGTCTAGGATCCACAAGAAATTAATACGGGCTCAAAAAAAAATTAGTATATAATGATAGTTCTAGAAAATTAGTAAATAAACTAGGGACGTATTTTTTAGTATCTAATAGGACCTCGAAAAAATTTGGTACTATATTAAGGGTCCAAAATGTATTAATTAATTATATTGGAGAAACTATTTAATAAGTTGATCGGTCTTCAATTTTATAGTATTGCTTATTGTTTCTCTAGGTTTATTATGTAGTATCAAAATTTAAAATTGTTTGCGTAAAAACCTTGATATAGTCTCCACCATTCATCTCTCAGTAATTGTTTTGATTATTCTATCTGCGTGAATTCTATTTTTGTATGAGTTTTGCTATATATAACCCTATTTATGTCGGAATCAAGTCAAATCATACAATGAAAATGTAACAGGTAAGTCTTGATATTGATGTATGTGAAAAGAAAATTAGTAGGTATGGGTGCATTTAGAGCATCTCTATGCAAGGTTTTTATTAGTAAAAAGTGAAGTGACTTGTAAGAAATATCATTGTGAAAAGTTCTTATAAGAACCTTATCCTATTTATGTTCTTGTAGAGGAACCTTGGTCCTTACTATGAAGTTTGTGAGAAATGAAAAAAAAAATGAATCGAACCCTCAAAAAAGAGGTTTTTAATTTAATGAGTTAAAAATGAGATGACAACAAAGAGCGTAAAAAGAGGTTCTTATAAGAACTTCCATTGGAGATGCTCTTAGCCTACCCTTTTGTATTAAAATGAAATGTTTTTTTATTAATCTGGATATCCAACCCGCTGTGCGAGCCGACTAAAAAAATTCCTACATTTAAAAAAAAAAATTACCAACCATATAAGACGATCTGACTTATATCTATGTTTAGTACTTTTAAAACTACATTTTCATACATTATTGACTCTTAGTTATCTAATATTGAGTGCATAAATCTTAAATACTTTCATATCTGTAAAACAAGAATAAGATCTCAAGCTACAATCAACATGAGGTTTGATTCTAAAATCGATGGTTTCAAAAAAGTCTGTTTTAATCCTACAAGTTAAAAATGGTGATGAAAAACATTAGCATGAGCTGACATAGAAAACCAACTGATTTATATTGATTTAAATATAGTATTACTGTAAATAGTCAAAATGATGACTCCTAACTATGTCAATTTATATATGAAATGTATATCATAGGAATTTTTTTTATGGTGGAACAGATTGATAATGCAATTTAAATAATGATAAGATATATAATATAATTTTATTATTGATTGATTTTACATCTAGAAATACTTGAAAAAATAGGTTTATATTAAACTATTGATATTTTTTGAATTCAATGTTATTTCTGATGATAAAAAATATTAAAGAAAAAAATTGTATTTAATGAAGGTCTTTTTTTACATTTCATCAGAGACCCTATAAAATAAGAGGGACATGCTTTTGATAAAAATATAATTATAATAAAAAAATAAAAATAAATTATCAATCTTTTCCAAAGGTATACATTCACATTTAAAATCCAATCATTTATACACGTAACAAAAACTTTATTTTCATTATTTTCAAGAAAAGAAAAAAAATGTTATCATAATACAATTAAAGTGTATCAAGTAAGAAGACTAAATGATTTATCTTTTAAATCATACTAGAAGGGTATTCACACAATACAACGAGATAATTTTGATTTTAATATTTAATTTTATTATTTATTTCAATCGATGTTATAGTATGGTCTTATGTGATTTTGAAAAAACGATAAAGTTTTTATTTTTGAATAAAATATAAATTTGAAAATATCATAAAAATTTGACAAAAATATCGATATTAGTATCAAATTAACTATTTTTGTATTTTTTGTGCAATTTTTTAATTCAATTTTTTATTATAATTTAATTTAGGTTCAATAACGAAGTAATTTATATTTGGTTTAATAAT